TAATTGAGGTATACCTATGATGAAAATTACAGGCCTCTCTCATCTTTTTAAGTGGGAGAACTTGCACAATTGGTGGCTGACTAAATACTTTTTTGCCCCACTGTACTTTGTGAGGAAAGGGAGGATATTCCTACCAGTTATTCTCTTCTTTTTTTTTTTTTAAGAAATGGAAACTTCCTAAATTTCTAGCAGTGTTTTTAAAAATATCAACAGGGTTGCTGCTGATAACATTTTTATAGGTTCAGGAGTATACCCAGCAATAGTCACTGGCTTCAAAATGACAAATGCTCTGCATGCACTGCACAGTAAAATACACAAATGCATGCAATGCACAGTAAAAAGGGTGATCAAAGCTCTGCCCCTTTTTACTGTGCATTGCATGCATTACGTAAGTGTAAAAAGGCTGAAGTTTTGATTGCCATTTTGAAGCCAGAGACTATTGCTGCAGATGCTTCTGCCACTGCTCTTTAGTGATGGCCTTTTGCTCCCAATAAAGTTACATTTTATTTTTCATTATCTTTCAATACTACTATAAAGCAGCTTTCCTCGAGCAGGAGCCATCCAAGGACTATAATTTCAAGAATTTTCAGCCAGCATTGCAATCCTGGAAATTGTTGTGCCAAGATATCCAGAGATCATCAGATTGAAATATGTGGTGAATAGTGCAATTCAAGATAGGTCTACTCAAAAATAAATTCTATAGAGTTCAGTGAGCCCTACTATCATTCAAGCAATGACAATACAATAGCTTGACCTGTATCAAGGCCTTCCAAATTTTTCATGCATTCTTCTTTATCTTGCAGCTGAAAGTCCTACAATCATCTGCTGCATTGTAGTTATGGAGAGGGTTTTGTACAAGCCTTGAGAAGAGAAGTAGGGACAGTTTTCTGCTCATTCCAATATGTATATGAAAAGATGGGAAGAAATCATACCCTAGTTCTTGCCTTTGTATATGCCTGTTTTGTCAGTAGTATGATTCTTTGATTAATAGGGTAAATCGGGATGCTAGACGTATGAAAGATGTATTGCCTTGGCTGATTCAGTACTAGCCAAAAGGTAAGTTGGTTTGTTCTGTATTTTAATGGTTGTGATACACTGTTACAAAATAAAGAGGCCTTTGTCAGTAAAAACCTACATCAGATGTGACCACTAATAAGACATGACTAGGCAGCATAGAACAGAACACACTTAGAAGACTCATCAGGTGATACTCTCTTGAGATTTCTTGTTTTATTTCTCATCTCTTTATTGAACCTTTCATTCAAAGAAAGTAGGACACTATCTCAGCCATTCCTGTGTGGGTTAATGGTTACTGTGTGATTAGGAAGGATTTGGAGATGCAGCTTGCTGAAGATCCAATGGATTCATTTTAAATTGTGTTGTGCAAAGGTTTTATTTTGTTTCCTGCTTGGAAATGCTGAGATGATAACCAAATGCCATTAGCCATTTTTTTCTCCTTTCTTCTCCTATAGGGTGTAAAATTTTGGAAAATGGACTCCTTTTCAAAGAACTTCTACAGACCCCAAACTTCCGAATAACTGTTGTGGATGATGCTGATACAGTTGAGATTTGTGGTGCTCTTAAGGTAAGTTTTGGCAGGTGGCATTAAAAAAACAAAATTGCCTCCCACCTACTCATAAAACTAGAGAGAAGTTTGCTGAGTGGTTTGTTACAGACCTGATTTCCATGTTTGCTTTCTCTGTCATCTCAACATGTTGGTGCCAAAAGTACCTTATTGGATTATTGCAAATTCCCCTCAGTATGCAGGCAATTTCATCTTCTTCTCTCTTAGAAAGCACTTTGAAGGAGGAGTTCTAGGATTTTTATGGTTGGTTAGTTTAATGATAGGCAACAAGAAACAGGGCATGAACAAGATTCCTTCTATGAATTTTCGAAGCCGCTAGAGCAGAAATGGGGAGCAGACGTTATTCTGTCTGCCAGATCATCTCACCTGTCCCATGGGGCCTCAATTGAGGCTCCAGTCTCACCTGCTGTTCACAAGGGTGCAGTATTGCTGATAACAGCAGTTACATGATTGTGGCAATGGTCAAATTGTAATTTTTCTTGGGTCAGTGATATTAGTATAACTGCAGAAGATGAGGAACCTTCTTGGTGGTAGAGACATTTTCTTATATGCAAGTGGAGACACTTTGGGTTTGCTGTCTGGCATTTGCTCTCCTGCTGTAGATTCTGTAGACCAGATTTCAATAACCAAGCATCAGAGAAATAAACATGGGGCAGAATCCAAATACTTCGGTAAATGCTGTATTTCAGTAGGTGCTGTGGGGTCCTTTTTTTGCCAACTCATTTGAACAGAGAAGGTTTCAGTAACTAAGGCTGCCAAAGTACTAAAGCAAACACAAATATTAAAAGAAGACTTATGTGTTGTTCTTCTGCCAAACAGCATTCCTAACCCTCCTCATCAAAATTTGCCTTTAGAATAACAGTTACAGCTGTGAGATGCTGAAAGAACATCTGCTGCACAGATGCATATATTTTGCCTAATCACTTCCATTGAATGTATTTTTATGGTCTCTTGACAACAGGCTGAAAAAGATACTTAGTGAAATCTTTCCTTTCACATTTTAAACTTTTTAAAATCATTGATGAAACTTTAAAAACATTGCAATTAATATTTCTTGTAAAACATTGCAGATTAGTTTGTAGTATTATATGTAAACTAGCTATAGAAATATATATATTTCTATTGTATAAAAATTATAGATTTTAAAAAGAAACCTAAGCTATTATATATCAGGAAGCTATATGGGGAAAAAATCTATACTAAACTACTGGGGGTGGGGAGGAACCTAGGACTAAAATGATTAATACGCCCTAGAGAATCAATAAAAGAAAAAAGACATGGCTTTTTAAAAACCAAATAGTGATTTTTAACAACTAAGCAAAAATTTTAAAATCACAAAAAATATATATATATCTAATGCTGAATTTGAAAGAAAAAAATTAAGAAAAAAACCTGACTACTTAAATTATATTAAAAAATCATCATTATTACTCTATTTTGAACAATGAAGTAAACCTAGACCACACAGAATCATATTTATTCTCCAGCCTTGGCTCTTCTTCGGAGCAATGCTAATTGAAAGGACGTGAACAGACAGGTCTCTTTAAGCTAATGTTTAGAATCTGAAATATAAGCACACTTCCATGAGCACATAATCACCTTTTTCACCACAGTCCAAGCTCAGTGTAGCCAAAGTTCTTAACAGAATGAAAGATTCCAGATTTTGGGATATAGTTTAACTAAACATTAGAAATCTTTCCTTTCAAGTAACAGGCATGTTGGATTGCTGTCAGCAATATCACTGTTGAATTTCCTTGGTGTCATCGAGACAAGAGGTCTGGAGGCATTTGCTAATCAGTAAGAGGTTGCCTGTATTGTATTTTGCCTTTTGATATTGATAGAAGAAAATATATGTAGCTCACAGTTGAACTGTGGAGTTCTTGGTGCTCTCTGAGCTTGGTCATCATCAGTGCCCTGATGATGTTACCTAGCTGGATAATAAAACACCCACAAGCAAACAACCAAGCTCAGAGAGCACCAAGAACTCCAGTCTTCGTTGTCAGGGGCTAGTCTAAGGAAAAGTAGGTAAGTAATTTCAGAAGGAATCCCCTTGCCTTAAGATAGCAAAGAAGTGTCAGGTTTCAGATGCTGAAATTATCTAATGGTGTTTTTTCACAAAGCCAGTTGCAACTCACTGTGTTTGCAGCTATGCAAGAAATAGGCCTCTGACCTGTCATACACAGACCCAAATGAAGGAAGCTATCCTCTACACTGGGAAAAGCAAGGAGGGAGTTGCAAGAGGTGGATGCAAGGAGGAGCCCCAAAGTATTTTTTCCTTTCTTTTCCTCATACTAAGTCCCCAGTTTCCCTTCTTGTCACAACCTGTTTGGTGATAGAGGAGTTCACTTTCCCCTTTATAGTCAATTAGATCCCACAGGAGAAAGTTGGAATTGGGCTCAGTTCGTGCAAGGAACTGCCTGATAGTTGAATGCTGGGGTCTGATTCACATAGAATCAAGATTTGTAGCCAAGATGTATAACCATGGTTTATTAAGATTGCTAGTATCCTGGTTTATAATTCTAAGTGACATTGGATGGGTTCTCATATTGCAACACATCTTTTCATCCACTGATGGGTCTCCAGGCAGTGAGGCTTGTAATTCCCAGAACTTCAGCCAGCATGGCCACTGGGAAGTAATTTGATATAATATCATATCATATAAAGATGATATACAGCCAGCAAAGTTGGCTAGTGTAACTGCTTTTCAACTGTTGTTGCCCAACTGCTGTTCAGTGTATTTGCACCACAGCCACGAGTGATCAGATAAAATGTAAGACTGGTTCTGGAAATTTGTAATTGTTTGGGACTCTTCAAAATTACCATACAAATCAAACTTACCTTCAGAAATCAAAGAGTTTCCTTTCTTCGAGTTGCTTGTACCAGCAGATAACATTGTGGTTTTGCCATACACAAGGCTGATTCTCATGGTTCACAAAGGGGTGGCTTACCAGTTTGATTTAGAAATGTGCCTGCCCAGAAAAAAGACAAAAGAATCTGGGAGGGGTGGGGGCATCCTACAGGTTAGAATGGATGACATAAGCTGCTATACCAGGTTGCTTCTGGGCGAGTGGCTTCTTGGGAGTGGCTGTGCCCATTATGGTTATTAGTGAAAGCCCTATTATTAATGATACCATTTTGTGAGAGCGCTTGCAACATGTTTTCAAAATTCCAAATGGGCTTGCTGGCACCCAAATATTGGGACTCCTGTGCGAAACCAGGATCCAGCATTGTGTGTGCATATTGTTATGTTTTCTTGACTGGCTTCATTTCTAGTTTCTTCTAAGTTACTATGTCTTCTTGAACCTTTGCTGCTTCATAGCAATATGGTGTAGCTCAAATACTAACAGTCCTCTGGAATTATGTAATTGTAAATAAATGAATTTTCTGTTATTCTGAGGAGCATTATTCTGACTTTCCACAGCCTGGTGATCAGGAAGTATAAGAAATTATCTATTTTTCACATTGGCCTCAGCTAAGCTTAACATGCATCAAGGAAATCTATTTTAAATTATCCATTCTGGTGAAGTTCTCTGCAGTTCACTGAATCTTAATTCAGTGTTATGATCCATTGTCTGTCTCCCTCTGTTGCATATAAACTGAAAAGATATTCCAGTTCTTGTAAAGCTACAATTATAGTACAATGTCTTCTTTCTTAATATGCAGAAAGTACATTTGCAAATTGCATGGCTTTATTTAACCACACTTACTTGAATACATGATCTAACATGATTACTTGAATAAGTTCACCTAACATGCTAAACCCAAACCAAACAAACCATTATTAGGTTGTTCATTTAGCTGGGATCACATATCAGTTTAGTGTGTAAAGCACGAGCCATTATTTATTTTGACTTGGAGGGGCTCTCTAAAATCTCAAGCAAAGATTTCCCCAACCAGCTATATAAAATCCTCTTTTTATTGAGAAATCAGTGATTAAATCTGGAGCTTTATGCCTGCACAGATGCTACATTACACTGCCTTAGGCTTGTCATCAAAGAAAGATAACAGATTTGAAGCAAATAGCCTGCTGCTATGTGGTAACTGGCTTCCAACAGAGATTTTAGTATAGCTTTTCTTCTGCACGTTTAGTGTTTGGCAGGGTTTTTTTATTTAGCTATTTAGTTATTTATTCAATTTATATGGCCATCCATTTCAAACATATGACTCTGGGTGACTAACAAATAAGAAAAATAACAAGATAAAAACATCATAAAAAACAATAAATAAGATAAAGCCAACCATGTGAATGAAGCCACTGTTCTCAGCAACAGTAATTTCCCATTAGGTATGAATCTCTAGGAATTAGAGGATAGGGGGACATGAGTTGCTATACTGATCCAAAACTATACACGGAAATTTGGAAGACAATTCCTTCAGTGCTGAACTTACTGATTTTCTCTTTTAATGAAAGATGATGAATTTTGTAGCTGTTGAGAACCTGAAATGTGTGTGGCATGTATGTAACTGTAGCTTCAGTGATTTCTTCAATCATCCTGGTGTCACTTTGTCTTTTCTCTGTCATCTATTTAGAACATAGTGGCAGTGGGAGCTGGTTTCTGTGACGGTCTTCGCTGTGGTGATAATACCAAAGCAGCTGTCATTAGACTTGGATTAATGGAAATGATTGCTTTTGCCAAGATCTTCTGCAAGGGGCAGGTCTCTATTGCCACTTTCCTGGAGAGCTGTGGGGTTGCAGATTTGATCACAACGTGTTATGGTGGCCGCAATCGAAGAGTGGCCGAAGCATTTGTTAGAACAGGAAAGGTATAGTACTTGTGGTGTTTTGGATACTTTCCCTCAACCCAAGAAGTTGACTCATTTGGAGTGATTGTGTAGCACTTTGTGGCTGTATTAGAGGGTGAAAGGGCATCTTTTGAGCCTAGTTATAACTTATTGGGTTTATGGTTCTGTAATACAACTGCAAACTTATTTTTTTATATCTAAGCAGGACTGAAATTACAGAATAGCCAAGGGGGGCTGTTTCCGTTTTTTTTTTTTTTTTAATGATGATTTCCTTAGCAATTATTTTTAGA